CCAATAAGTCAAGGCACAAAATTCTAGATATTCAAGCATCTAAAATAGTATGCGGAGATGGCTTTAGTTAGCAAGCTGTACAATTATTGTTTTATTTTATGGTGTAAATACCAGATTATGAACTAAAACTTAGTTTACATATAAATACAATATCTTTCCCAAAATTAAATATAGTGGCAAATTGATTTACTTTTCACTCAGTTGCAAGTATACACTAGGCATTAAATAAATACACAAAGATAGTTGTAAAGTAATAATACCACTGGTTTTCGTGGTCAGAGGTGACAACTAATCAATGCAAATCCTGTAACTGCAAATACTAATGTTTTACGAATATTTACCAGCGAATATTAATTTCTGTGAATGCAGTAATTCAGTGATTCAAAGAGACTAATGAATAAGTTATAACCACAGGGTAATTCATAAGTGGACTTCCAAACAAATAGTCACACAACTGAACTAAATAAAGCGCATTAATAGTACAAATAAGACCCACCTTTTACAGGAGGTTCACTGGGTCTAGTATCTTCAGCATCAGACGGCTTGGAGTCCACATCTTGTTCTGGTAATTTCTGATCTGAACCAATATCAGCCTGATTTCTTGTCTCTTCTGCTTCAGACAACAGTTGACACATTTTGGTACCAGAATGCTGAGTTAGAATGTGCAAATCCTCAACGCAACTGTCCAATAACTCTGGCTCAACTAAGCCATCCAATACATCACGTAGTATCCCGCGAACTTCACCACTTTCATTTTGACTAGAGGTATTACTTTTGTTAGTTATAGCATCATCGTTACCAGATTCAGCAGTTTCACTTGATACGTCTTTTAGATCACTTAAGAGACCCGATGTTTTCAAACAATCTGAGTTTTCAGCTAATAAATGTTGTATGCCTTTGGAACATCCAACATCTGTAATTTAAAATATAGTACAAAGAAATGTGCTAATAACCGAGACTAAGAAAGGACTCATAAAGAGAAATAATCGGCAAACAAGCGCATATCAGAACTATGTACTAATGGAAGCGTAAGGTGTTGCTACTTTCCATCTGTTCACACTGCTAAAGTTAACTTCGTAAAATAACCGGAAGAGAAAAATTCACGCATCGCTTGGATTCAAAAAACCCATTCAGGGAGTTGTGGTATACCAGCAAATGTCGTTCTAACACGATAGATTTTTAACATACGATTTCACCACCTTTCCGGTTTTTCCATCTAGTTCTCGTGACACATGACATTTAAGCAATTAAAGTTCCGTGTAAAATGACTACGGAGCACTGTGCTTTAAAAAACAGAACACTGGTTGTATAGACCAGGCAAGTTTTCAGTGTTTGCAAATGTTTTAGGATGCAACTACTACTTCTATTACATACGTACACAATAACCACAAGAATTCGAAGTCCCAACAATAATATTACTTAGTTTTACTTATAAGCGGCTTAAGCAAATGTTTCTACAGGCTGTTCGCCAAGAGGAACTAACAATAGTGACGTCGTTGCAAAGGACTAGTGGAAACTCAACATTCAAAGCGGCGAGTAGATTTACTGACCATTGTCATATCAGATTTTAATCACGGTAAGTATTCGTCAATATTTTCTAGGACATTAATGGCTGGTCTTTAGGAGCAACTAATTTGCTTATGTCAACCAGTTTGGAATAATATTTATGAACACCACATAAACGCAAAATAAACCTGGCACACTAAACCATGAACAAAATCCAGAGGAAAACTGAAAATTTTGTATGCACCGACTCCCTCAGTAGGTATATTTTTTACTTTATGTCAGAATTGAGTGGTCGAGAAAGAACACCGAGTAGCACAACAGCGATGGTTGAACCATGTAAGATATATAGGTAAGTTGTGAACTGTTCAAAGCCACAGATAGGAATTTTCCTTATCTAACCTGCAACGATATACTCCCTCTTCTCTAAGCCTAGACGCAAGACCCATGTCATCTGAAATACTAACAACTAGTGCTATCCGTCAGACAAATCCGACATCACTTTTATTTAATATCACGCGAGAATCTGGCATATAGCCATGGAGTCTTCAACTAGTGAGTCCCGTCGTGATGTATAGACTGTCTGCCTCGGGTCCTCGAGATACCGAGATCTAATAGCTGGAGACTGTTGGTAGCATGGATCATGATCATCCTAAAAAGCACAGACGAATTCGCTCCTTGTGATCTTCTAGATTCAAAACTCTTAATTGATCCGCCTCTGATTATTACCTATCGCGTACGTCTCCTTTCACTGTACTTCAGTTTCTCCCCTACTTTTATATGCTTTTTGGGATGTATATTGCTGCATTTTGTACAGAGGTCTACATCAGTCAATAAGATTACAAATACTATCACAATTGACTTACCTATTTTAGAAAGTTGTGTAGAAATTGTACGAGCTGTGTATTTCCCAGACAACTTTTGTAGTTCAGTATCTATACGACGTTCTAATTCAGTTATCTCCATAGTTATACGAGCCATTGCACCCTCTGACATACTCTGATCATACACAAAATGAAAGCTTTATGGTAAATATAACTGAAAGGAATTTACGACAATTTGAACAGAGCGAAAATTATATATGATCAGGATTAAAACTGATCCTAGATACACAGCACTATTCAAGCAATAATATACTCAAGAAAAGAATGTACTTGTTGCTAGCGGAAGTTCAATTTCTTTCAACTTCCCGAGACACGATTCACTGACTTCAGAAGCTGACTTTCGACAAACACGACCTAGTTTGATTGGATACTATTTAGTCCAATCAAAGTATCCAATAGAGTTCTACAGGAGGTCAACTGCTACCCCGAATAGCTCAGTGGTAACGTCTGTGACTGCAGCTTTGGGTAACGCGGGTTCCAATTTCAAAAGGGACCTGAGTTCCCTCAAGGTTGCAGATACGCCTTGCTGACAAGTACCAACTAGCACGAAACCTAGGTCCAAGGCTTCCTGCCAATTGCTTCCAACCATCTAATATCAAACACGACATAGGTTCGTATCTTGCCTACCTATTTCATCCTGGACAAATGCATCATCCCTAACACAATAAGCGTGACTCAAAGCCCTGTATATCAGGAATTTCTTTTTGACTACCTTAATTCTAATTAAGTGATGTATGAAGAAATTTGCTCCTACTACACTTGACGGAATAAAGAGGTAAATAAGTCGGTACATTCAGAGGTTTGTCTATGCAAACATACTAAAGTAAACAATTTCACACCTTTAAAATAAAACAAGCAAGAAACATTAAATAAAAACTCACTTCTTAAGTGAATTAGCACCACAAAGCTCTAGACACAGGTTTCGTGCTTGACCGAATTTATCAACAAGGCTTTCGTGAAATCTTGAGGAAACCCATATTTACTCAATTATCAGATTACAGATGGCTTGGTGATCACACTACATAATTTCCAAGTTTCAGTAAACAAACTTAAGACTACGTAACTACAATGGTTTTCGTTTAGCAAATAATTCACATGCCTAGTTTACTTATGGACTTCAAAACAGTCCTCATCCCAAGATGATGTCACTTAACCAACCACTAAACTTCAAATGGGACTCAACACCCACCTGTTCTATACTAGTCCACTACTTTTTAACAGTGAGTACGTAAGGACATATGATGTTTGACCTACAGTTGTCAGGTTTAACAGCGGTCGCATTTATTTCATGCCAATTGGTGATGAGTTGCTTTATCTTAACCATAAAACAATGACTTAGATTATGAAGTAAACACTATAAAAATTTTCACTTATCAAAACTGACATTTACTAATTTACTAATTTTACGACGTTTTCATAAACGGTAGAAAAATACATGGTACTCTACAGTGTGGATAGAAACCGAATAAATAATATAATAAGGTAAACTTACTTTCAACTTTTCATCCTCCTGCTTCATTGAAGCAACAAATGCTGGAGGATCTTGCTCCTCATCATAATCAACTGAGAAAAATGCTTCAATACTAAGAGCGGATGATGGAGTACGACTGAATTCTTCTAAACGTTTGCGTGCAGTACTCTGACTAATCCGAGCTGAAATCACATAAATAAATTAGTGAAAAGGCTTGATCTAGAATTCATCGGAAAATAATGATAATAATAAAATGTTTACCGTATTCACTGAGTATAACAAAGCAACAACACTACTGTTTATTGAAACTTATTAATCAAAGGATGCACAAGACAAACTCTTATAAAAGGTCTTAATTTCCTGCGCTGATTAAAATTTAACCACTCGGTGAACAGATGTCTACTACGCCTCTTTCCCTACTTCTAGCTCCTGAAGTTTGGTAAATAAAAAGCACTGTTCGACTGACAACTGTCAAAATTATCACTTGTAGTTACCAATAATTGTGCCTTTTTAAGTGTATGGAATATCAAGAATGCTGATGGAGTGGTTTCTAAAAGTGCTACCAGTATGATGCTTGTATAAAATGTGATAAAATGAAAAAAAAAATGCTGCTAGTTCATGCACTGAAAAAAGTGCACTTGGTTATCAAGTTTCTTTCCTTAATCGTATAAAATCGGTTATTATGAAGACAGATAATAAAGGAGGAATTATACCAATTCGAGCTACGTCCTCCTCTGTCCTATTGAATTCATGAATTCGAGCAGCAACAAGTAGTGCAGCAGCAGCCAATCCACTAGGCCTACGACCAGTAGCGATCCAGTCTTTCTTCATCCTTTGTAACAGACGCATGGCGGTTGTAGCGACTGTGGACACTTTGTCACCGAACTCCAACTGACTTGCGAAGCGATCAATATAGATACAAGGATCTGAAATAAGTTAGGACAGATCATATATATATATATATATATATATATATATATATATACAAGAGGAATAAAACAAGTTTGGCTCCTAAACAGAACAAATTCCCCTATTCATTATCCACTTTACAAAAGTAGTATCTAAATATCCCCACTTTTTATTCTTCAGCCATTTACATATCTAGACTGAGATTATCCTGTATGGTTCTAGACTGTGAGACTACCACTGGTGTAATCACCAATAATCGATGAAATATAGGTATAGGTAACGGCAGGATTCAAACGAGATGCTTCTAAAATAATAATCTACATACACTATGAAGGAAATACCAGCGTAAAATTTCTCTTTTATGTGCTCTTATATCCCCAACAGATCCGTAAAAGATTTATGATGCACATAAGATAATGTGCAAATAATAACAAATACAAAAACTACCACCGTATTTAGACTGCTTTTGGCAAACAGTGAAAATGTAGAAACTACATACGCAACTTAATATTTGTGACTACTATAAAAAGGATATAAATGCTTTTTGTTCAGTACAAATTGCTATGTAAACAGAATTACTTATGCAAAAGAATTCGGTCGTTGTAATGAACATGAATTTCTAAATAGTGCATTCTGGTGCACCAGCATTGATGAAGCTACTAGTACTAAACGGTGGAATGTTTTAAAGATTGTTTTGCTTTCTAAACAATATAACATACAAATTCATGTCACTTTCATAATTATTTAACTCAAAAGTGATTTTTAAAAACATAAAAATAATATAAAAACGATAGAAGATACAGATAAAAAGGGGGGAGAACATTGAGAAGTCTTTAAGATCATCATCAAAACTTGAACTAACCCATTTCTGGTATGGCTAAATTAAGTCGCTTTTTTAGATCAGCGTAGACACGACCAAGAACATAAACATTGATTCCAACTGCATCACTGAGGTCTAATAACATCAAATTGACGCGCAACTGGCGGGCTGCTAAATATATACAGCCCGCAGCTACTGTAAAAGCATTGCGACCCCTTGTAAGTCCACGAAAAAGTGCACTTTGATAATAACGAAAGGCAGAGACTGTTATATCATTGCCAAGACGCAACTGGCCACAAATGGTATCAATCCTTCGACGAGCTATAATGATCAAATTTCAAACAGGTTAGAACATAAATAACGATAAGTAGAAGTGAACACTAATTAGTCAACAAGCAAACGAGACTTTTAGTCTGAATGTACCACGTCACATTAAGTCAGTAAGAGCACCCGAAGTGTAAATTTCTGTGACATGTATCCTTTAAAATCAAACATCAAATCAGGATAAATTTTCAAATGAATCAGCTAACCAAAATAACTTATGATGATAAAAGCATTGAGACTTCATAATCAACTAGGCCCAGTAATTGTATGCAGGATGGTAACAGTTCCAATGGGTAAACTCATTTTAATGGTTGGAAGTTCTTAAAACCATTTTGGTGACTGAGTGTGGACAAACATGTGAAAAGAATTTAGACATGGTTTGCGCTGCTTCTTAAATTCAAGCTTTTATTCAGAGATATTAATAAATCTGTCCAGGCGATGGAAAAAGACCTAAATTGGTTGTTAAAAACTAATCAGTCGATTTTCAGACTATGCTAATTTCAAACTCACAAAATTTCGTGCAATATAGACCTATACAAAATAATTACCAAAAATTCCACTTGAGACACCACTTAAAAGAAGGGAACAAGTCTGTTTTACCTAATGTCTAGACTCTTAACCAGATCAAAAGTACAATAGCAAACACGAAAGTGTATTAATGAATTTGATTAGGAAGCTGAATGGTCACCAATAAGCTAACGCAAAAACAAAAGTGAAGTTTTATAGGGGGATCTTCGGCCGTTAAGTAGGGTTTCATAATTCAAACAATGTCTCAAATAACTCAACCCATCCAAATATCTACGGACTTATGCTATCTTAGTAGTATGCACTTTTGGAGCAAAAAAACGAGCATAACAAGCACGTGCTTGTATGGCATTAAAATATAAGATCAACCTCAAAATAAATTTTCAGGAAAACAAAACAGGATAATATAAAACATATTATCTCATTTTCACATACTTGTGACAGAGAAACAAGAAGAGTATTTCCCGCTCACCTTTATTTTCGGTTAACTGACGTGACTCTTTGAAGTTAAGAGCTTGGCCTGAAATAAAATGGAGTAAAATATCAAAACTTACTCCCATCTGAGACAAAACGACCAACAGCAGTACATTGACCAGTATTTGTTTCAACGAACTCTACCTCTGAAGAAATGACATTTTCGCCCATAACCATCCCACAATCTAAACATATTAGGTCAGCACGGGCACGGTCTTCTTCTAAATTAGAGCTTCCACAATGTTTACACTTCATTTTGGATGTTGCGTAAAGCTCAAAGTCAGCGCTTAATATCCATTATCCAATAGATTCAGATTCATATTCATATTATAGGAATATAAGGCTCTTGTTGCAATATATATATCTTCGGAGATCCAGTTTCTCTTTGAAAGTGTTCACCGAAGGAAATGTTACTAGTGTATCCTGTGAGGAGTTCCATTCATGGTGACCTCGTAAATGTATCCTAGAGGGAGAGAAAAGGTTTGAAAGAGCAGTCCTTAAATCGCCCCTTAGTATAGGGCAAGCCAAAATTAAGTCACCTCTACTCCTTCGGTATGATAATGGGGAGAGATAAAGATGCTCCATCTTCTCATGATAAGGAAGGTGTGAGATACCTTGTCGATTTTCGGGCTTTTGCTTGCTGTTGCAGACTTTTGGGCACACTTTACCTCTGTTGTGTCTTTCGAAGCTTGGGGATGTGGTTATATCTCAGTCTTATCATTCAGGCCAGAATCCCCATCCATAAAATTGGTACCAGATCCTGCTTTTTCACCTCACCTGAGGTTTTGTCAGTTACTTGGACATGAGAAGTCCTACAGTCTCTTGGATGAGGAGGTCCAATGGTTTGCTACAAAATTTGCACATCTACGGAGATGATGGCTTGCTGCATCCCCCATAGTTCGATGGTGATAAGCGAGTGCAAACATTATGAAACCATAGGTTGCAGTTATCACACTGCATCCCATCATCCACCTGAAAGTGGCAGTCCGGTCGTCCGCAGCTATTTGAGAGACTCATATCGGTATAAGTCGTTTAAGTTACACAGACAAATATGTATGTACACAAAAAGTCACAAAAGGGCACAAAAACAATACTTCAACTAATTAAATCAGTTAAAGTAAACCAGAAAGCTTCTGATGAGACTTACACAACGAAAGCAGAAGTTACTTCACAACGTAAAAATGCCACTTTCCTTTTCGAAGCGCTTGCTATAACACCAAAATGTGTGCTGCAAGCTTTTCCAAAACTCATGAATTCTTTGTGGAAAGGTTTTAGATATTTATTGGATTTCGATAAAGTGCATAAATAGTCTGGGCTGCTCAAACAGGCGGTCATAACTACAAATAATTCTGGAAAAAGTTATGTAATCCGTCTATATAGACTTACGTCAGATACCTGGCTGGTTCTTACGCTTGCTCAACTTTGCTTTTATTTACTATCCTAGTGATAGGCGAACCGTTTACCATAGATGAAGTTTTTAATTTTGTTAGGATTCAAGAATTTCTCCAGTCTCTTAGATATGCATATTCACTTGGCTGCTGTGGCGTTATTTAATTCATGGTTCCTAGTAAGACGGCATCTCTTCTGTTGTGGTAGTTTAACGTTTCACTAGATATTCCCACCATACGATAGAAAAGCCATAATTATGGGTGAAAAAGGAGGAGAGATACACAGACAAGCAAAACAAAATGGGAGGAAAGTCAAAGAAGAAAAAGAAAACAGAGTAACAAAACAGTGAAGGAATAGGAAGCCAGTAAGTGACAACAGCAGAACGGTATCCTCACCAAAAATGTCGACGGTCTATTCTCAGATTGCCACTATCCTTGGGATTCTGCCAAGTTGTTAGGCTGAATACCTCTGGTACAAACCGACAGGACCCAGTGAAGCAGGCGAGTGGTGATTTCCATAAAATTCACACCCCAAACATCAATGTGAAACAGGCTTAGCTCGCGTATTGTACAGTTCATAATTCCACCATTAGACACTGTGTGTCCATCACAGGTAGATAAAGTGGAGGATATAGTGTGTTGATTCTGGCTGTCCGGATTCGGCTCAGTTGCAGATGCACAAAGAGTCACTTTCACTTTTGCAAGTCAAATAGATGTACACAGGGGATGAAGGATGTTCTTGTAGAAAGACAGACAGTTTTGTGCTGATTCTGCTGACGGTTCCAGTTTGGTTGCTGTTTGTGTAACAGCATGACATCTTCCTCCTGGAATCATTGTTTTCTCATGTGCTACATGCTCCGACAATCGGTTCACGGTTATCTGTCTGTTTAAATGTTCTTGGCTGATAGCTGCCGTTTCGGCCATCCTCATCTTCTGAATAAGGTTTCAAGCCGTTCATATCCTGGCGGTTTGTAAAGTGGACGATATTCTCCTTGGTAGCTGAACCAGTACGGCATAGTTTTCACGGCACGTGTGGCAGACATAGAGAAACCTTGGACGGAGATTATGCAGGATAGATTAGACGGAATGTTTCTTTTCTTAAAGACCTTAAGAGGTTAAGTTATATTCTTAAGTTATGGCCAACATATGCAGACAATGCATTCGTCTAACATTTTTTAAAGTTTTTAACACATAAATCCAGTAGTCCATTGAATCTAATACACTTTCTAATTCGAAAATGAACTTGATAAATTAGTGGGTCAAGAAAATGGGAGTAGACGAAAACGGAATGGCGTGTCAAGCATTTGCATGTATAGACATATTTCACACTCTTGTATGTACTTAGACCTTGATTCCCCACACTTAAAACGATTAAACGTTCATTTAATCCAGCCAGGAGCCTAACCAGTAATTCAGAAGATTTAAGTAATAAACTGATAAATAGGGAAACAGTGATGAAAAGCCTCCCACCAGCTTATGCTTAAAAAGTACAAAAACGCATAGGAAGAGTAGTGGTTTAAGTGGAAAATATAATACAGATAATAAGGAGTCTAAGGCCTCAATAACAATTCCACATAAAGAGGCATCAGAATAAGACCTTTGTGGAATTCCTAAATAGGTTACAGTAAAAGTGAAATTAAACCTACAAACCCATTCAGGAACAAGCTTTGTTGTCTCAGAGACCCGACAAATCCAATCAGGAAAAACGTGATTTATCAAATGACTTTGGGATAAATTATGTGTGTCGATTTAGTAGATCAGGGTCAATTCGATGATTGAAAAGTGGGAACTCAGGGAGTGCTATATGGCTAACCCTTCCCAGTTAAATAATCAGTAGAGCATTTCTATCACTGAGATACATTCAACTGAACGTAAACGCACCATAGGTTGGGATAGGGCTAAAGTAATAAAAAGTAATATATTTTGCTAGAGTATTTAATCACCGAATTTCGTCTATCAAATCAAAACAAAACACGTGCACTCTACGTGCACGGATGAATAAGTAAGTAAATTTTTTCTGGGATATTTTAACGGAAAGCAAGGGAGAGTGAAAGCATATAAGACGAGTTCTGAAGTTGTTCAGATATATCGATATGGACATGGGTGATAGATTTTGCTCCGGAAGTCATCTAGTTATTACTTCTGCAACATTGCATATTATGGGATAAATTCATATAGTGTGGAATAACATTTCGCAACTGTCAACCGCCTATTTTTAGTTTCAGTATTCGCCTGCAATTATTTAGTCAATAAGTTATCAGTCCCTTATAGAATTTAGCTTCCGGATTTCTTATTTTAACGAACCCTACGAAACGTCTGAGTTAGGTACGATAATTGTGTCAAACACCTATTCTGCTACTAAGTCCATTAGGATGGAACAAAAAATATACAAACTTAACGTCCTTAGGAGTGGTACAGGCAATAAAAGGTGACTCTAATGAGCCATGGGTGAAGCTGATTTAAAAGAAGGTATAGACGGGTAAATGACACTCACATATGCAGAATATAGTGCTGTTTGCAGGCAAAATGTAGGCTGAAGTTTATGAAACTAACAGGAGATGTGACGTGCGAAAATATGGGAAAGATATGTGCGACCGGTAACTTCAGCCAATCAAATACCGAGAAGTGAGCTAACAGGTAAGATACTGAGAGACTACGTTCTGCTGTAGCAGTTCAATCTACAGGTATGCATACAAATTCTCTGTGAAAAGTTGTACTGGTTGACACCTTCAGAGATTACACATAGAAATTTAAAAAGATGCATGATGACTCTTGAAAGGGTGCATGATGACTGTTGAATAAATTTTCCTAGATAACCAAATCCACACTGCACAGTAGCTGAGTGTTTGAAATTGTAATGAAACTATCGTATTTAATGTGGACAAACATTTGTTTGTCCATTACGTCTAAAATACTATTTTCTCAGCTGAAGGTTTTTCTGGATACCTAAATTATGTAGAAAGAATGTGTGTATTTCTTTCGATTCACTCTGACAATTGAATACTGAACGCATTGCTATGTGTATATTGATAAACACGCATATTTCGATTTCCTGCAAATGTTTTCAGGTGGGCATAGTTTTAACTACTGCGTAAAAGGCTTTTAAGTGTTTTGCTATTGTTCACTAGTCACTATATAAACAGTCTGAATTGTCAATTCTGGTGCATCTCACTCCTTGATTTCTATTGCACATTAGGTACCTAATGTGCAAACAAACACGTGTTTGTTACGTATAATCAACACAAGTGTTTGATGTCTTCAAGTTTTATATTCTTGCTAATAATTCTCATAGACTGAATTTTACAACTTGATTCACCCAAGCTTACCATAATGCTAAATTAAATCTCACTAATTCTGAAATAATTCTCACGTTCTATAGTGAGTAACTTCTGAATCTGTTCTGAAATGGATTCTTTAATAGCACAGACTAGAACTCAGTGCTGGTTTTCAGCATGACTAGAACGAATTCAGCACCGTGTTCTTTTTCTAGGCATTTCCAGGAGTAGATCAGAACATACTGGGTTTGCTTATCAGCGTTGTTTCAGCCCTCACAGGACATATTCAGCGCGGACTAGCGTTACTTCAGAACGAAAAGACTTAATTCAGCACCCAGCTCTCTTTTTAAGCACGACCAGCGTCATTTCAGAACATAGTGTGTAGATAAAATCTTCATTTACCATAAAAAGGCATTATCGAAGAATAGGTTAGAATAAGTTAAGAATTGTTGTAAGCTTGGGCACTTATGGGCGTGAATACCTTGTGGCTAGGAACACTGAGACGATAAAATATTATTGTAAAGTTAATACGTACTGCAAATTTGCTAGTAATATTTCAGTTTGATTATGCAAAAAGCAAATGAAACAAGTGGGGAGATTTCGAGGTGATTCTAAACTGCCCAAGCTTACAACAATTCTAAACTTATTCTAACCTATGCGTTGATAATGCCTTTTTATGGTAAATGAAAATTTTTTCTACCCACTATGTTCTTAAATGACGCTGGTCGTGCTTAAAAAAAGAGCTGGGTGCTGAATTAATGCGACAAAATCTGAAAAGGCTAGAATTAAGCTGAAAAAATTGCCACTATGTGCTGAATTAGGTCTTTTCGTTCTGAAGTAATGCTAGTCAGTTCTGAATATGTGCTGAGGCTAGAATTAAGCTGAAAAAATTGCCACTATGTGCTGAATTAGGTCTTTTCGTTCTGAAGTAATGCTAGTCAGTGCTTAATATGTCCTGTAATGGCTGGAACAACGCTGATAAGGAAACTCAGTATGTTCTGATCTACTCCTGGAAATGCCTAGAAAAAGAACACGGTGCTGAATTCGTTCTAGTCATGCTGAAAACCAGCACTGGGTTCTAGTCTGTGCCATTAAATAAACCATTTCAGAACAGATTCAGAATTTACTCACTATAGGATGCAAGAATTATTTCAGAATTACTGAGATTTAATTCAGCATTATTGTAAGCTTGGGTGACTTCGTGTTATTCATGCGTCTCTCGAGTTCTTTTCTGTTGGAAAAAATATCACAGTTTTGTGTATCGACTTCACACCACATCAGTAAATACCACTGGCTTTTTTTAACCCATACCATTTTAGGTTATATATCTGCCGCATCACACAGATTTAGGGTTGTTAGTACACATAAGGTTGTTACTCAACACTAAAGTTTAATATCCTTTGGTTTCCTCTGTTCGAGTCAGATATAATCTCTTGTAAATTCATGCATTGTACTGAAGAGTATCAACATCAACTGTGCGTTTTAGCTTTGATCTATTAGTTACCGACCCCTCACTATCAGTAATTGTAAAACTAAAAAGATATGTAGTCCAGAAAGTTTACGGTCTACATCCAGCCAGTGGTGAGCACAGATAGACAACTTCGAAACTAGTCATTTTTTATTACGAAAAGCTGCAGATCACTAGTAGCTATAGAATCCCTGTGAAGATTTTCATAATGCATTGGCCCCAACAAGCGTTAGTCTGCAGCAAAACAAACACCTAATCTGAGTGAAGTTCTTAGTTGCTCAGAATTTCGAGGAAGTCTGCATTTCGACAGAGGTAAGCAAATATTTGTCTAAGCATGAACACAGTATTCATTCTGGGGTCACTTGAAATCAAATTCAGTTATTAAAAGCCTACCAAGTTGTGTAGTCATCCAAACTTGTAGTAGATGATTACATGCATAAAGATGAGTGAAAGTTGCTCAAGGGTAAGATAAATGAACGTTTCTGGAGTGAATTTGTCAAAGTGGTTCGAATAATAATTTATGTGAATGGTCCTTTATTTTGTATACAGAGCTCACCTTATAGTTTATATATCTTGATATAATTGTTTACTCATAGTATTTCACAATATTTGGTTTTACATTTTTTAGAATAATTGAGTACTGCTGAAGAATATGTTTTCTATCAAATAATTGTAATGCTTATTGAAATAAGAGGGGATGGCTCCACAAACAGTGACCGATGGAAGACGCAGTCTCAAGAATTTTTCTTATGATCTCGAAGATGCATTAAATATCCGACCAACGTATAAAAAAGCTGTTGTAAAGGAAGATGTAAGTGCTTTCTTCGGATAAATGATGCACTCAAGAAACTAATTTTAAATAAAATCACACTATTTGAAAGTCGCCTGATTTCTTCCACTGTATTATACTAATAACTGTTCTGTGTAAAACTTTCCACATACAATAGTACTTAGTGAAATCCGAATTCAAAGAAATTAAAAAATATTTTCCCACAACTCAAACGTACTACAAATAGTAGCTAAGCGGCGAATTCCGATAGTTTACGTGGTGACATTTCACCGCGTAAACATTGCTTTTTAGTCTTTCTGCTGGATACTTACTATTCGCTGTTAAAGCATAATACCAGTAGCTTTTGCCTGGATGTGATGGTCAGGCTTACATATCGCAAAAACCAAGGAGCTATACTGGCTCAAATAAATACCGCAGATGGTTGTCACACCACAAAGTATAACTGAATTGCAATTAGACTAAATGGAGTTACCATCAAAGGATGACAATGAAGTTGTATTGTTGGTAGATAGAGGTGTATCAGTAGTGAGGTGTTTTCAGAAAACGACCAAGCTGGCTATACGACGTTTTTGCTCTTAGAAAGTCTTGTATGAAGATAAAGTTCTACAAACTCGGCCCACAATTAGGCCATCAGTGACCAACTTTAAACAGTGGTCCTCTGGGATATGAGGCCACACAACGGTAGTTTCTTCCCTCTCTCAGCAACTCCAAAGATAAGGCGACCCCCACTGTTCAGGGTGCCGAAAAATGGTAACTGTTTCACTGGCCTGAACTCAAGCATCTTAAATCTTTCACTTATGCTGCGTCTCTGAGAAACCCATTAAAGACTCAAATGTAGTTATTCAACCAACTCTGCCTGGCAAAAGTGGTGAACCTACGAATTTCGTCTTATGGGCGTCATAAGGTCTGTCATCTAGTTCTTATGAAATTGCTAGTGTAAAGTAATATAATTTAGCTGAAGAACAGAAAAGTCACCTCTCGGTGAGCTGCAGTTTTGATAGAATAAACTATTAGTTTGATTGTAGTGTGTGTAGTTTACTTCCAGAAATAGGTGTAATTTAATGCTCAAGTAAGAAATATGAACTCAGTGAAAAATCACAGTATATTTATATACACATATATATGAAGTCCGATTCTGATGAGTGATTAATACTGACCGTCTCCCAAGAATTTTGTCCAAATAACTATGTATTTCTGGCCACCACTAATGTTTAACACAAGCAAATAACGTTTTATTTAGGGAAACCCCCCACACCAAGCATGTCCAATTTTATGTAGAAACGGATGCGATGAATGTTGGCAACTTGGAAACCAATGATTAAAAAATAGTAGTAAAATTCTACAGGTATTTCTCAACTGACTGAGAGAAGAGTTATCATGAGAAGCTCCAGAAATAGCGAAGACTAGAAGCTGCTGAACGTCTTCAAGATGACTGCGTGCAGTGGTAGTCGATTAAAGCCATATTAGAACATTTATGTAATGCAGGCTTTCTTTATATCCCACTGTCTATCTGTTTGATCTGTGTATTGAGTAGATGTGAGATTATCTGTGTTCGATCATAGGTGTCTGCGTTCTATCTCCCGCGTGAAGTGGTATAATAAGGTGAGCAATATTGAGGTTAGGCATCGAGTGCTAGGTAAGGCGGGGAAATCAATCGACGAAACTGTGAAATTACATCGACTGAGATGGTTAGGACATGTGCTACGTATGCCTAGTCATCGCCTTCCTCGACGGGCAATGTTAGCTGATATAGGGCCAGGCTGGAAAAGAGCTAGCGGCGGTCAAACGAAAACATTGCACCAGTCAATGAAATCCACAACAGTTAGTCTAAGCCACGTATGAAGGTGTAAGCTTCCTGGTTGGGGTCCTCGGGACGATAAAAACCGATAGTTGGAAACAATTGGTGACATGGCTCAAAATCGTTCCCAATGGCTGGCGCAGATGCATCCACTCCTTGTGACTTATGATTTCCAATTAAACTGTTTTGTTCTTCGTTATTACTATTCCTTTGTATCACACCTCTGTTTACTGTCTATATTATTCAGTTCTTCTACTTTCTTCTCTTGCTTTGTGTGCTACACGGAGTGTGGCGACTTGAACTGCCGCACATATGTGCAAAGTTCTACGTCGAAAACCGACCGACCGACCGAGATGTGAGAATAGTTCCTGTTTTTGACAGTTCTATCTCATATAAAGTAAGCGATTATGTTCATTAATATTGTTGTTAGTTGTAAAGTTCTAGATAATGGAGGAGGATAATCGGTCAAGACTTAACCTGCCTTGCTGAGGTTCATTTCTTGCTGAATATTAATGGCTGGAGACTGTTGGCGATGTGACCTAAAATAGTTCTGAATGGCGTAAATGCATTTGCCCCCTTGTTATCTTCCGGCTTCTGAAAGTCCTCATCAACCTTAAAAATAAAAGGAGGATTTGTATCGCAGGATGTAATGTTGACGACTAGATGCAGAAACTAAGAAAAATTCAGACAATTCACTGATTTTCAAATAGTCATTATTCATCTTGTCCATTGCAGTTTCACTACATTTCTGTTGATTAACTTTATGTGTACTTTTCCAACGTATAGCACCTTGCAATAAAAACATTTTCAGGCTTTATTTTACTAGGTTTATCTTATAAGTTTCTTTTGTTAAAATTTTTACTATTTCTTTTCTGTGGGAATTTAAACAAATTGTAGATGTGAATAACTAAATGGAACCAAACCGCAGGTGTTAATATGACTGTAAGTAGTTTAGGTGAATTTATGTTATCTAGTAGAAGTACAAATAAAGGCGAAAAGCAAATTTAAGTGTACGCTGTTCAGAATATAATGCGGAAGCAAAGTAATCTGAAGCGTATTCTCTTTATACAGAACTTCCTCTGCCTTATTTCTAAAGATCCGTAATACCTCATACATTTCTACATTTGATTAACAAATCAAAGCATGGTTGAATCAGTGATAAGTTGTGTTGAGGGAATTTTGCAAGGATCCCATGTTATTAGCTTTCGTCTTAATGGAAATAGAGTCAATAGATATTTCTCAATTTTGTTAACTCCAGCTTAAATTGTCTTGAAGAGGACTGCCTTAATGCTAACTTGGGGTCTAAGACACTTCAGTTATCCTGTATGAGTAATTGTGAAGCGTCACCCAATTAGAGTGAAGTGAATCATATCTCGCTGCTATTTAGTGCAATTTTCTTGGAAGATGATTAAGTGGATTATGGCTGCATGAATTTCATTTTTTTCACATATTTTAGAAATTAGAAGTTCAGCTTTTTCCTTCGGTACAGTTAAAACTTTTCATGAGAAAGCTTATCGAATACAATACTAAGCGATTAATTTGAAGAGTAAGCCTGATTATGTAGATTGTGTATAATTTCAAGAAGGGAGTGGAACTTGTGGTTACCTTTTACTTGGTATAATAGATTTTCAACATATATCACTTTGTGGAGTCTGTCTTTAAATTTGTCACTTACTCGATCGACTTCCTTTTGATTTATTTCAGCTTACCGGTGATGCGAAAAGAGAAGGCGCTAGAGCGGCACAGAGTTCCTCTACGGAATTACTGGGTTATGACTGGATAGCATCAATGGTAGATAATCAAATGAGGTCAATGTATGCCAACATTATGGACAGCTGTGATAAAAAGTTATTAGGTTGTGACTCAGTTGACGACCAATGGTTAAATCGACAAGAACTTTTCGATGACCTCAATAAGTTTCGTCAAACGAATTCTGAATTGTGTTGTTCACAACAACCTTTAAGGTAGGTGTCTTAATTTTTAGTATCCTCTTAATCATTTGTTTGGGGCTTCGTGAGAAACACATCAATTTCCATATGTCATGCATTTCTCTTCGTCTAATACAGGTACAGTAGAAGTGCACCATTTATTTTCTGTTCCTAAGACAAATGGAGATAGATGAAGTTCGGGGATTTTAGTCCATCAGAAATTTCTCCCAAAGACTTGAAACAACTTTACTATGTCAGAAAAGACGACTAAAAGTAACTGATTCAAATTATGCATATTTTCATTGTGCATTAGGAAATCATTATGTGTTATGCTGTTAATAATCGACTGAAGACTGATTTCATTTGTTACCAAACTTATTTCTAAATTCTTCGAATAATTGTACGAATGAACACAAAATACACGCAGTGGATGAAAAGCAGCTATAAAATTTCGACAGTCCTGTTAATTATCGTTTATAACCTTTGATTATTGTAGGTTTAAATTTTAGTGTAAACTTTAAAGAAAGTTGATCTTGTGTAGATTCCTATCAGATACCAACGATTCAAATCCTATATCGTTTTCACCCTTTTTAATGCATTCAAACTTCGCCATTTATCAAGACACAATCAAGTTAAACCGAAAGAAAGACAGATCCTGTGTTATTTCTTTTTAATTTTTTGCATTCTGGATGGGAAAATAGGGTCACAAACTTTGAAGTTTCACTAGCAGTGTTGTTTTTATTGGACAGGGTTTTCAGTCTCAGACTCAGTTTTCCATGTTTACTAACCTTTACTCTGTATTGGCTGAGAACAGAACTCACACCTACCGTGTGATTACCTAGTATCCTGCCATTGAACCACTGTTCTATTATCGCGACTGTTAAATTTAAAAAGGCCTAGTCGAATGGATTTTATGTTATCAACCAAACCATAGCAGGATAAATTAAACAAAATTTCAACTATATGGTGAAATCCATTTGTAGTTTTATGGTCTGTTTACTGACGAGGTGCAGATAACGTGGCCCTAACTATCAAATAAAATATGTTCAATTAGCAAGAAATATATAAACAGTTAAGTTAGTTTTAGATAGATGACTGCATTGTATTTGGGTAGTCGATTTTACTAAACACAGCAAACCTAATACGGACTTTTATAGAATACACTAAGTTGGCAATAAATTGTAGTTATAGGTATATATATGTGATACAGGACTTCTCTTGTTATGCAGACCAAGAAGATATACTGTCTGCTTGGAGTAAGTATGCCCACCCTTTAAGTTTAATGGATTTTCAAGGTTGTTTTTTGTCTTATTGTGATTTAAGAAGAATCGGGTTGTAGTGCGCTTAATGCAACATCCAGTTTATAGCGGAAAAACAGTTTGCTTCCTAATTTAAAACAGATTATCGCATATTACATAAGATGGAAAGGTGTTCATGGAAAGTTATTTCATTCTCGTTCGTATAAATCTCACCATTTTTGAGATAATTTTTTCTAGTTTCTTTGAGTTACTTTGTAATTTAATCATATGATGGGGGTAGTTTCTAGTGAATTAATATCCCTAGTTTTTTGTTTTGTTTTACAGTTATAACAGTGAATTTACCAAAGTTAATCCAACACGACATACATCAACAAGTGTCAGACAACTGATGCGATCAATTCCACCTATTAGAACTAAGAGTTCTTCACACTATAATTCAAGATCACCCATTACATACAATTATACACTGAATTCTAGATTGTTTCCTGTAAGAACAGATATTTTGACTGATGATGAAAAGGCAAAAAACGATACGGCGAACCCTGTGATTCTCAGGTAGTTTTATTTTAATATCTTTCGGAATATATTTAAATGCTAACTAATTTATAAGTATTCATACACTTTGTGGAGAATTTGGATTATCTGCCTTTGACCTTAAGTAGTTTGATTGGGCACTAGTAACTAGTGTGACGAAAGGACTAGACAAGTCACACTAGTTACTAGTGTCCAATCAATTTACTCACTACAGTCCTACAGGAGGTCAATCGCGAGCCCAAGTAGCTCAGTGGTAATGTCTCTGACTGCAGCACTGGATGACGCGGGTTTGAATCTCAGGAGGGACATGAGTTCCTTTAAGGTTGCAGATACGTCTTGCTGACGAGTGCCAGCTAGCACGAAACCTAAGTCCAAGGCTTCCTGCCGATTGTCTCCAACTATCTAATATCATGAAATCAATTTGACCTTAAGTGAAACATTAGGGAGGTTTTCATAGAGTTTGGAAGTATTCCCTCTCATACTGGGAACAATAAATACTAAAAATTTATTATTATTATTATCATCAACCTACTCAATTTTATTCAACATGCTTCCGATCTTCAATCATTATTTTGTGTTGAAAATCAATGTTTCGCGCCAAAAATATGGAATGTGGCACCAGAAGTGCAAGTATTGTAGACAGATTGTTACAAGGTTGTGTACTAATAATATTCTGTACAATAAGTAATTTAGTGAGATATATTTAAGATATCAAGAATTAATGTCCTACCTTCTACAAACAGATAGGTCTCAAAGTCCATTGCCTTTTGGATATAAGAAACTATTTCGTACTATTTCCATTAGTTAACAGCATGAATAAATAGGTGTAGGCAAAACAAAATTCTAAATATCCGATTATCTGTTCACACAACAAGTTTCGTATGAATTTATTGAAGCAGAAAAACAGGTGGTAATAACAATGTGAAAAGTCTGTTAGTAAGCGAAATTTGTTTCACAGATAGTCTGTTATTCAATAACTATAAATGTAATTAGTGGAAAAACATGAACTGTAAAATTATTTACAGTAATGTGTATTTCTAATAAAGTAGTTGCCAAATACCCCTGATATATTGGACAGAAGTTATTTTTATAGGTTATCAATGTCTAAGTGTTCTTAAGAGATTCTGTGACACTTTGCGTTCCAAGTGGAATATAGGGCTTCAAGCTAGAGCTTTGAAGTTTGGGTGGCAGTAGTTTTATTTTTACGGGATAGGATTGCCAATCTCACCCCCAACCTTCCCTCTTTGTCAGGCTTATTATCAGCTAAGCGAGGTTTAGGAGTGTATCGGTCGGGGATCGAACCCCGAACCCCCTGAGAGTAGCTGGTGAGCATTCTGCCTCTGCGCCACAGACGCACTCTGTGACATGTTATTTATCTTATTTGACCAAAAAGATCAGTTGAATTCAACTATTGAAAGGGTTGTTCATCTTCGTACTATCCTAGTTTTCATTTTGTCAAGTATAAATATGGTCATCTGTTTGTTTCCTTTTGACACTATTATTTGTAAGACAAAATGCATAATCTTATCGAGTCAAGTTATTCAAATCACACTTGAACTGTTTAAAGTCAGAAATTTCGAAGATAACTTCGAAGGGATTGAATGTCAAAAGAAGAAAGCCATTAAGATAAAAAAGTCACATTGTTGCTTAGTAAATTAACCTCATAGGTAAAAGAGTACCTAAGATAATTGAGCACTTTATGTCATAAATGATGAGCGAATATCATGCAGAGAGTATCGTCAACTTTCAGACAGGTTTCAAATGTGATCACATATTGATGTCAATTAGAGAACCATTGAAAACCAGGGGCTACTGGGCAGTTGTTTCATCCCATTTTGGGACTCTCCAACAGTACTCACCTACTGGGGGTTCGAATCCAGGACCTCCCGATTACAAAGGAAGCTCGACCTAATCGTCCATGGATCCCAACTTCTACCAGTTAGTGATTTTAGTGCTACCACTAGACAGGTGTTAGTGAATTTGATTCAACAGCGATACATAATCTGATATCTTTTAGAAGGTCCAACGGTGGATCAGTGTTACTTGGACGGTCATTTCAGAATATTCCCGCTTTCATTAGGAGTTGATCAGTAATGTTAATTGGTTTCATAAGATCCTTTTACGTGTATAATACTGAAGAGCTACTTTCTGGGTATATATCATCGATCGCTAATTTTTTTAATGCCAAAATAGATGCTTCCATACTGGTCGGCAAAAAATTACCGTATTTTACTTCAGTATGTCTCTTGGGGAATAGGTAACAGTTGTTATGTTGGTACAAATACACTGTGCATTAGGAAAAAGAACTAAAGGCTTTCCGATAAAAAAAAACTGTAGCATTAATTTATGAATTTATTCACCTGTTGACTGGGATGATTCCACTCCAAATAAAGTTATAATCTACAATTTGAGTGTTGAAGATTCCCTGAAAAAAAATGTTTTCCTATGCTGCTGCCGGTCAATTCAGCATAGCGATTCTTCTATTATTACTGTTGTATAATTCTTGAATTATCTTTTTATTATAAATACAAATAATTTTCAGGATTTCAATCCCGTCGAATCGTCTAAAATGTATGAAATTACCAAATAATTCCTACGAGAAAAGTATACCAGTTCCATCACGTCGGTTAACGAATTCAATCTCTTTGATGGGACATTGCTATTAAATGATGAAAAGAGGAATATGGGTACAATACTGCATTTCTTCGTTATCGACAGACAGTTGTGGAAGATAATCAGGACGGATGAGTTCTGACATATAATTCTGGAGGAGGAGAACTTACGGAACACTAAATAATTTTAATTTCTCTCTGTACCTTTTGTATTCATCGATGTGTTACAAGGTGTTGTGATAATTCACTTCTTTGACTAAGCATAATAAATGTATACGAAAACATTTAAGGCAAATACATAGTTTTGTATAGTTTGTCGAAATTCAGAAATGAAAATGTTTGTGGCTTAAATGGATTTTATTAGGCAAATTAACCATTTCGATATCCTCAGTTCCAAGTTGTTTGCAGCTGTTTTCCCGATATCGTAGATGTTTTTCCTTGGAATATGTTGAATTAAATCTACTTGCTGGTAAAACAAGCTGGAAGCTATGTAGCAGTTAACGAAACACCTCCTGAAATCATTTGTGGTGATGGTATAGCGACCCATGAGCCACATTATCTAGGCGAAATCAGTCAATTTATAAAATCTGTTCTGACTAATACATCTCATCTTATTGAAGGACAGCACTTTGATAGTCTAATAATTTTCGTGAAAAGAATCAATAAACCGAGTAGTTTTGCTGACTGATTTGTGCCACAGTTTCAGCAGTGGGGTGTAACACGTGTCAGACTGCATCAATCTTCGCCTCTGTCTTGAAAATCATGTGTCTTAAATCTGTCTAATTTCACAGATGCAGAGTATAGTAGATATAAGTGGAGGGTTTTTGAAAGATAGTAGGACCTTGACCGTAGTCAGCTTCCCAGAGCTTTCCCAAATTATTTTGGATAATGTGATAAGTTATTTTCGAATTAAACTTATGGTGTAGCGTGAAATGTTAGTCAATCCCTAGGACTGTAGATCTTCATCGGTTAAGTTAGTATGAGCAAGTGTTACGTTCATGAAATAGTTGCCTTTCTTGGTAAATAGTGTCGGATGAAATAAGATTTACGGGAATGTCAGTTGACGCTTATAAAATGGAAACAAAGTCATCACTTACTGGTCTGACTGGGAAATGTGTTAAAGTTCGCTGGAAATGCGTCATCAAGATGCTAAGAATCAGTCGTTCGAAACTCTTCATAATACGACCGAAAATAGTTAACGGTGATGCAGAAGTCCTGAAAATCTCCACTAATTTTGTTGAATTATTTTATTCCTCACACTGACTTATATCCGCTGTAACGTCATCCTATTTGTGTTCTTGAAGTGAATTTGTGCTTTGCAAAGTTATGTGCATTGAACTGATTCATTCTTGTGCAAGAGTCTATATTAATCTGTCAACCAATCATATATAATCTATGTACAAACTTGAAATTTTCCAAAAAATCGCCTACATCTACTTGAATTTTAAGAAGTGTAGGGGACGGGACTGGATTTGTCAAACATTTCTTTTCTTTGGGTAGCTATATAAAACACGATGAACTGATTATTGACGAAATCATGGTATGGATACAAAAGTCTCTTTTATAACCGTTAACTTATCGCCAAATCCGTTATATCTGTACGCAGAAATACTGGGATTAGGGTTCAGTACTGAAATGCAGTAAGCAATTACTTTCTGCTGCACTGAGCCAATGGAAAAGTAGAGAGACAAGGCTGATCTACTGTGGTGAGAACATCAACTTTATTAGACGGACATACACCGTGTGTATACACTACCAATAACCAATTTGATCAGTTGTATACAGTCGAATATCAAAAGTTGTCCAACCGAATTAGGACTATATCTGATGATATTAGATGGTTGGAGGCAATCGGCTGGAAGCCTTGGACCTAGGTTTCGTGCTAGTTGGCACTCACCAGTCAGCAAGGCGTATCTGCAACCTTGAAAGACTATATCTTTTGCTTCACCAGCCAACTACTTAAATTGTTGATTCTAATTTGAGCATGCAGATATAGTTACTAGGCGAAATTAAGAGTATCTAGCAGTCTCGTTTGATATTTGATAACTTGTGACATCTTTTGTAGCGGCAAAATATTTGACTGTCAGTTAAAGGGCGTGGACTCTATGGCATTTCGATTTTGTCCTACCCTTAGGTTGTGAGACACTGTCGTTTAAAACAGGAGATATATAACACATCTTGTATTCAAATGCCTTATCCAATTTATGCATAGTTCAATAAAACAGTGTCAGTAGTCCTTTATTACTAATCTTAGACTGTATGTGTGTCTAGTTCCATATCATCTTTAAATTGTGTGCGTTGAGTAAAAGTAAAATAAAATGTAAAGGTGGGAAAAAACAGGTACGCATACACTAATATTAACATTTGTTACATGTGTAAAAAACTTTCTGCGTGGTTGTTTCAATATCACTGAAATTTCTGTAAATTGTAACTTTTTTACATATGAATGCATCTGTGTATAGTAGAGAATGTGAGTAGAGTAAGTTGGTTGTATTCAAGAGCTAACGGATAAATATGACAGGTTAATTAGAAGCTTGTACTAGTTAGTGGGGTAGTTAGTACAAACAGATACCGATAGATTGTCCTAACTTTAGAAGTTTCTAGCAATGTGAATTACAGTTCTGATTATTCGCTTCATTTCATTAGCCTTTCAATTATACGTACTGCTAAGAGATTAAATACTGTTCATAAACTAGACAATAAGATTGTGATTTTACTGAGAATACTACTGTGAGATAAGTTTTGAAACAGAACTCAGGAATTAATGTGCTTACTTGCCGCAGCATAGCTAACATAAGACACGTCACAATAATATGAAGAGAAAAGAGGGAAAAAATTGATAAGACAGTCGTTATCTCAAGATTTCGCGGATGATTTATGTTTGATGTCACACAAAATCGAAGACTTACAAGCGAAAACCGACAAACTGGTCGAAGAAGCAGCAAAGACAGGACTCCAGGTGAACATAGACAAGACGGAGGTTATGAAAATAACTAATCAACAACAACAGCAACATCCAGCGCCAATCACCATCAACGGAAGGGATTTGAAAGAGGTTACTTCATTCACTTATCTAGGGAGCATTGTCTCAACCACAGGAGGAACGGACGAGGATGTCAAATCGAGAATCGGGAAGGCGAGAAACACATTCATCAACCTGAAACCAATCTGGAAATCTTCGTCACTCAGCATCAACAACAAAATTCGGATTTTCAATACAAACGTCAAGTCAGTCAGTTCTTCTATACGGATCAGAAACTTGGCGAGTCACAAAGAATATTTCCAACAGCCTGTTGCAGACCTTTATCAACAACTGTCTTCGTTCTATACTGAAGATCAGATGGCCGGAAAGAATCACAAACAAGAAGCTATGGGAACAAACAAAACAAGAACCAATCGCTCAAGAAATATGCAGGAGAAAGTGGAGATGGATTGGACACTCGCTGAGGAGGCCACTGGGTGACATCGCGCGTCAGGCAAGTGCTCGAGTGGAACCCGAAAGGGAAGCGGCGAGTGGTTCGTCGGTGCAAGGGTGACATGGAGGAGATCGTGTGAAGAGGAGCTGAAACAGTATGGACTAACATGGATGCAGGTGAAAAGTACAGCAGAAGACAGAAGGAAGTGGAGACGTGTAGTTGAAGCTCTATGTTCCACTAGGAACCCAAGGGAACAATCATAATAATAATAATATCTCAAGATATGTCTTTGTATTAACCTTCCAATAGGTTCCGATTTTTAAACATTCTAAACGATTACTGTAGTATGCAAATGATATGAAGATTCCTACACCATCCAGAAGATAGTATTAGGCTGACTTTATCCTTAAGAATAGTAAACAAGTTAGTGAGACCGTATGACTGAGTCACAGAAATCAATGTTTCATTATGCAATCACCTGATTACTAAGAATATGTTGGAAAGAACATATCTTATCTGTTATGATCTATGTCTCCAGTTTGTTATGGATTGTCGCTAACTGATGTGTTCACGTTGACATTTGGAATGACCGAGTGGACTTATACGTGAGTATAATAGCACTAACGCAATGGACAAATCAACTGATATGCTAAAAACACCTATTCGTCCACGGTACCTTCCGCTTCACTAAGCCACGTAAATATCAAAAGACAAAGACTGGTCTGTGATTGTTGGAATTTTTTTTTTTCCTTCACGTTCCCCAGTGGAACATAGGGCTTCAAGCTAGAAGCTTGAAGTTTCTGTAGCAGTGTTTATTTTACAGGATGGGGTTGCTAGCCTCATGCCCAACCTTTCCTCTTCACCAGCATTATTTATGGCTTAGTGAGGTAAAGGAGTGCGTCGGCCGGGGTTCGAACCCCGGACCATGTGCATGGTCGGCGAGCGTCCTAACCGCTATGCCACCGACGCACGACTGTTGGAATGAAACGTTTTTATTAGGAAACAAAAGACATCATATTTATATATTTTTAAGCACATTAAAATTTGCCTAGAGAAATAGAAGTAGATTGTTCTGATTGGTAAGTGATTCGGTTAGGTCCCTGAAAAATTAAATATTCTTATTGGTTGGCGATTTGACCACGACTAAGGTAAGAAGAAGTTAATGGAACTTTGCAGTTATCCGATCACACAATGAATCATAAGATGATTACTGTTTTAAGCCGATTCCTATCACCAATAAACAGCAGTTTCATAATTTATGGAGCTAAGCTAGCGCTCCTTTATTTACACTTGGTGCGCTTGTTAGTCAACCGTATACTGTAACTCTCCTTTTTAACTATTCGATAATTCTTTTGAACCTTATTTGAACTTTCAACATGCTACAGTATTTCAGAACGTGAAAGGTGACTTGACGATTCCATGAGTTTGTCCAAAATCTCTGAAGTAATTGTTATTTTTCATGTGATCGTGTGCCATATGCTCGTCCATTTAGCTTAAACATAACGCTAGACTAAAATCAGCTAGTATGGTATGACACAACGGATTCGCATTAATAGACAGCTCTCCCCAAATCAATCAGCCTTTATCTCATATGAGGTAGGGAGACAAGAATTCTCGCTGAACTTGCATTTTTTCAGT